TATATATATATATAAAGCATTGAGATTGTAAATAAAAGGTTCAAATTCACTTACCCTGTCCCACAAATGTGGATCGGGCTTTTTATAAACCTCGATTCTCTCGACTTGATCAGGATCAGTCATCTTCCCATTTGCACACCGGATGAGGAACGCGGGCACGCGTGTACTCACTCTCAGTCTCGTTGTTTTCCAATTTTGCACTCGACATGTAGAAAAAACAAACGGCTTCTGACAAGGGTTCCTCATAACGGGCCTCGTGTTGAAAGCGTAGGCGGTGTAATCGGCCCGTCTGTACCAATTCAAGAACGTTCTAGAAGGCATCTCGATCTCTCGTGGGGACAAAACCCCCCTGAAAATCTGGACAGCAAATCCCCAAGAAACGGATAAAGTCCAGCCGTTGGATCGGTCGTAGCAGATGGATTGCTGCATGAGCCCAGCCGAGTCAAGATCCATCGGAATCTTGAGATGCTTTAGTGCCGCCACTTGATTCATGTTCGGGAATATTGGCTCCACCACGTCTAGGTGGTGAAGCGAGACCAGTGGGGTCACTGGGTGGGCCCCCAGTAACCCGAATAAGTTTCCGTATACATCGTACTGAAAAAAATCATCAATAAAAAAAAAATCAAATTTCAGAATGCAAAAATTGTAAATTTCTTTTTTTTTTCGAAAATCTATGATTAAACATGGGACCGAACCAACTACGTTTGTTTTTTCACCAACCACACTCGAATTACAACATATTCAAGAAAGCACTTGTCGAATAGACAATGATGTTACATAGTTGTTGTGTTTAATGATCAGCAAAGATTGAGCAACACTTGTCTTCATAGATCAACTCCATGATTTAATTAAGTGGGGCCAATTTCATTGGATTCTTGTTTTTTAGTAGAATTAGGTTGCTAAAAGTCCACCGATTCAGAAATCCAACACATGGAAAAAGGTGAACTAACCCACAGTCAATTAAAATCTGTTTAAGACAAATCCACAAACCTCAAAATCTTGTAAACTAAATTCGAAGATCCATTGATCCAACCTAATCGCTCCCGACGTTTTCGATGCAATTCACATGTATATGCTAATATGCATGTTATCGGGGGTCGATCAAAGGTCGAAAATTACCCGACTATAGTTCATGATCATGATCAAGAACACAACTAGTGGATCAAGAAACCGTCTTAAAAGTTCTAAACTCTTCTTGTTAACAGATTTCCAGCACTATTCTAACAAATGCTAAATCCCAAAATAGCTAAATGAAAACAGAAACCCCAATAAACAGGAAACAGAAAAAAAAAATCAATTGAAAAAAAAAATAAAGAAATTAAGGCGAGAAGTCTGACCTGGTGAAAACCGAGTTCTTTAGTGAGTGGGACACCGAGTTCAGCCATACAAGCCTGCATTCTATCATCGGAGCCGTACAAACCAGGGTACCTCTGAATGCATTTATCCTGCATTTTCTCGAGCGCCTTCGCCAAAGGGTAGCTTATCGCGAAACCGCCTCCGCCATAAGCCATCCCATACGAGAAGTAGATGTTCTGCAAATGGCTCTCGCTCAAACTCCCAATGTAGTAATACTGATTGTGATCGTACTTGTTCAAAATCCTGACCAAATTGTCCGTCACGAATACCGTGTCGTCGTCCCCCATCACGAACCACCGCACGTTGTCTGTGTTCCCCAGCCGTAGAGTCTCCGATACGATTCTCGAGATCCGGATCGCGGAGCGGTGGCCCTGTTTGTTCTTGTAGGCGAATTGGGAGGTGTCGCCGGAGATTCTCAGCTCCGGTAGCGTTTGGGTTTCGTTTCTGTAGGTCTTGACCGCCTTGTCGAGCCAGACGATTCCGCGCATTCTGTTCTCCGGCTTCCACCAGAGCTTTATGTACTCTTTTCTCTTCTCCCACAGCTTCGCCGACGCGGCGATTCCGAACACTATGTGCTCCACCCCTGTTCTGTCGTCCAATTGCGGCGGCGGCGGTTTTTGTTGTCGTTAGGGTTTTGGAAGAGACGGCAGCTTCGGTTGCAATTGCGTCGTTTCCGGCGGTCGGTTCGGCGAGTCGGACGGTTTTTGGGTGGCGATTGGAGAATAAGTCCTCGCCGCCGCAGGCGCCGGCGGCCGTTTGGGAGGTGGAAACCAGCTTCAATGCGTACACCACATACGTGGCGGAAACAAACAGAATCAACCACACCATTAGCTTAGGCAGAGCTTTACCTTGTGAAGAAGCTGCCCCCACCACCGATGTACTCCTCATCGAATCCCAGATGAATTTTTCCGGGTTATTTTGACCCGCTTTCATTTTTTTCCTTCACCCCCAAAATAGAAAAATTCAATTTTTAATTTTGATTTCTGTTAATGCTTCGATTTTGGGGAAAAACAGATCTGAGTGAAGATGAAGAACGGATTGAAGAGAAACAAATGCAGATTAAAAAAAAATTAAATTAAATTCAGAGGGTGAAAAAAGGAAGAGCATGCACAGGTGCCAGGTTGCACACTCTCCTCTCTGCTTTCAGACCTGCCCCCCTCAAAAAACACACACACACACACTTTTATTTTTTTAACATTTATAAATTGGCACGAAAATCGAAGGAATTTTATAATCAAAATAAACGGAGACGTAGATACGTACAGAGTTTATGTATGTATATATGTTGGAGGTGGAGATCTATTTGTTTACAAACACTTGAACCGGTCCGGGTGGAGATGTAGAGTCGGGTTAAAATTCCTCAACTCTTTTTTTTTTTTTTTTTTTAATTTAATTATTTTTAAATTTTGTTAATGAAACACAGCACGAGTTATGTGCGTAGGTAAAAGGTCGGCTCATGTGACTTATTAATACTACAAAATAATTTTTTTTTTCTTTTAATTATTAAGTATTTTTTGAAATCAAATATGAATTACCTAAATGTAAATTTCTAGTCAATGGGAAATTTTTTTTCTTTGGGAAAATGAATGGAAATACAATAAATTTTAGTCAAATGATTTGAACATTGTAGAATCATCGTTTACATGGTCAATTTTAAATTACAAAAAAAATTGGAATCTTTTAGATTACAAAAATTACA